AAGGGTGCAGCTCAGACCCACACGCCCGTCAGCAAGAGCCCCACCAGTAGGCAGACGCGTGACAGATGAGGCAGACACAGGTTTATGAGGGGCTGCCACGCCGGTCGACCCCTGTTAGCATCTCCACCACCTGGGTGGGGCACAGCACCCAATACACTGAAAGACACGCAGCCCTTGGGCCCTGCAGCTCAGCATTGTCCCCGAGACGCTGTCTCCTCTCCCAGGCTCCCGGGACACCCACTGGGTGCGCAGGTCCACACGCCTCCATCCTCGAGTGCCGGCCCATACCCTGCCTTCCCTTCTTCCTCACGATCAATACCACGTGTGTCGTCTCCAGTAGGAGAGACTCTCCCCGGGGAGGGAGGAAGCGGGACCCCCACTTCCCCGGTACCCTGAGAGGGAGCCACACTGCAGCGCCTCTCCCCAGGCGGCCACAGCACTCGACTCTGGGAAACAGAGGACAGCAGCCACCAACAACACTGCAGCTTTGACCCTGAAAACCCAGCAGGTGCCGCACCCCACACAGCACGGAGCCGGGCCGGGACCTGATGAGAAAGGCCTGAGCCACCTGCCGCCCTCCCTGCAGTAGGAGGAGTAGACAAGCTTGATGTGGCCGCCCAGAGTCATGGCTGGAAGGACCTGGGAGGCCTCGGCCTGCTGGGCTCACCCGTTTCTGGGGATGAGGGCCCCGCGGACTTACATGGTGAGCACAGAGGGTTGGCAGAATAGAAGTTTGGGAAAAGCATCCCCTCTGCAGCCATCCGGTCCAAATTCGGGGTCTCTCTGGAGGGCTCTCCGTACACCCCGAGGTCGCCCCATCCCATCTGCAGGGAAGAGCATGCGGAGGAGGAATGAGCACCTTCTGCAGCTGGTGCTGCTGGCTTGGGGAGCTGTCCGTGGTGCCAAGAGCGTGTCGGGGACTGTGGGAGCCAGCGCCGCCCTGTGCCCCAGCCAGCGGCAGAGCTTGGCTAAACCCCAGCAGCGCCTGCGTGTGTGCACAATGGGGCCACTCCACGGTCGGCCCACGCTGGTTTTCGCCTCCACTTCTGCTTGGTCGTCACGTGGGGAACGCGTCCGTCTGCCTCCTCCCAGTCCTCACGTGGGGAACGCGTCCGTCTGCCTCCTCCCAGCCTGACACCAGCATCTGCATGCTCGCGGGGAGATGGCCTCTAACACATGCATCTCTTTTCAACATACACACACAGGCCCTCGTATGTCTGTACAAACCTAGACTTCAAAGTCCAGCGGTAACTGTCCCCCAAAAGCCTAGTTGCCATGTGGCCCTGCAGTTCCACGCTGCAATTCCACTCCTAGCTGTACACCTGAGAGACTAAAACTTACGTCCACACAGACCTGCATACGCGCGTCCAGGGCAGCGCAACTCAGTGGCCAAAAGGCAGGAGCACCCCAAGCGCCCATCGGTGGACGACAAAGTGTGGCCCGTGTGTACTACAAGGGTGTAGCTACATTTGGAAGTAGGATCTTTGCAGATGTAGCGAGCTAAGATGAGGTCACGCTGGACCAGCGTGGGCCCTCAATCCCGTGACTGGGAGTTAGAGATGCAGATGTGCAATAGAGATGCCGGGTGAAGGCCGAGGCCAACACTGGAGCGGTGCAGCCACCCAGGGGACAGCAAGGGCCCTCCTCGAGAGACTCAGACGGGGGAGCCTGGCTGACACCTTGATTGTGCTCTTCTGGCCTCCAGAATCCAGCAAGAATCCATTTCTGCTGTCTGAGGCCACCCGGCCTGTGGTAACGTGTTATGTCTGGGGAAACTCATGCACGTACCACGGCACACCACTCAGCCATCAAAAGGAAGGGCGTCCTGCCCGGTGCACGGCCCTGGAAAGCTCCACGCAAGGGAAGGAAGCAGACACCAGGGCCACACAGGCTGGGATTTGCTTATGGGAAGCCTCTGGAACAGGCCGGTCCGCAGAGGCAGGAGGTGGCTGAGGGGCTGCCGGGGCTGGGGGTGGGTGCTGGGGAGGGCCTGCTGCTGGGTACGGGTTTCTTCTTGGGACAGAATGTTCGGAAGTAGGTAGAAGGGATGGAAGTACCACGCTGTGAACGTACTGCGTACCCAAGTGGCGCACTTCAAGGTGGCTGTCATGGTCAATTTGACGTTCTGTTTTTTACAATAAAAGGCCCAAGCAGGAGGACGGGTGAGCACAGGGCAGGAGGCACGGAGGCGGGGTGATGCCGGGGTGATGGTGCCAGCACAGCAAATGCCCACGGCAAACTCCGGGGGTGAGTGGCAGGGCCGGTGTTCACCGAAAAATTCTTCTAACTTCTCAGTGCGTATTGTTGAAAAAAGTGCTTTTAAACAAGCAGTGCGCCCGGACTTTGTTCTAGGAGGAGGGGAGGGCACCACCTGGGGCTTTGGCTCTCCTCGGATCCTCCAGCCGTCTCCCTGGGCGCCCACCTCAGCAGGAGCCTGGTGGAAGCCACCACCGCGAGGCCCCTCCGCCTGGCCTGTCTTCCTTCCCTAAGGACATATTCCCGTCTAAGGTGCTCCAGGCACCAACCAAGACATCAGTTAAGTGCCTGTGCCTGCCTGGGCCCCTGCCCTCTACAGGCCACCTTCAGTAGCTTCGGCAGCACAAACACACACCACCTGGGAAGGACACCGCATTCTAAACACAATGACCACGTTCATGGGCCCAGCTCTGCTGCATTCACCACCACGTTCTCAGGACCAGCTGTATATTTATTTTTGAAACCAATTTGAATGCAAATATAGATATTTAGAGCTGCCATCAGCAAACACATTATGTAAAGGGCCTCACAGCAAATCTTTTCAGCTTTGTGGGCCATATGGGGCTGTCACAGCCCCTCAGCCCTGCCACAGCCAGTATTTGAGCAGACGTGCATGCTGTGTGCCAATAAAACTTTATTCATCAACATCTGAATTTCATATAATTTTTCATGTCACAAAATATTATTCTTTCAGTTTTTTTGAACAATTTAAAATTATAAAACCCATTCCTGGCTTATGGGTTCAAAAAACAGCAGGTGGTGAGCCAGAAGCAGTGGCTCACATTTGAAATTCCAGGACTTTGGGAGGCCGAGGTGGACAAGATCATGAGGTCAGGAGATCGAGACCATCCTGGCTAACACGGTGAAACCCCCTCTCTACTAAAAATACAAAAATTTAGCCGGGCGAGGTGGCGGGCGCCTGTAGTCCCAGCTACTCAGGAGGCTGAGACAGGAGAATCACTTCAACCCAGCAGGCGGAGCTTGCAGTGAGCCGAGATTGCGCCACTACACTCCAGCCTGGGCGACAGAGCGAGACTCCGTCTCAACAACAACAAAAGCTCAGCAGGTGGGTCCACATTTGACCCATGGGCTGCAGTTGGCCAACCTTTTAGTGAAAGTGCAGCTACCCTACCTTAAAAGGCAATCATGGGGCTGGGCGCGGTGGCTCACGCCTGTAATCCTAGTACTTTGGGAGGCCGAGGCAGGCGGATCACAAGGTTAGGGTTTGAGACCAGCCTGGCCAACATGAAGAAACCCCATCTCTACTAAAATTACAAAAATTAGCTGGGCATGGTGGCGGGCACCTGTACCAGCTACTTGGGAGGCTGAGGCAGAAGAATTGCTTCAACCCAGGAGGCGAAGGTTGCAGTGAGCCAAGATTGCGCCCCTGCACTACAGCCTGCGTGACAGAGCAAGACTCTGTCAAAAAAAAAAGACATGAATCACTTAAAGCCAGGAGTTCGAGACCAGCCTGGACAACACAGCAAGACTCCACCTCTAAAAAAAGAAAAAATAGCCAGGTGTGGTGATGTGCACCTGTGGTCCCAACTACTGAGGAGGCTGGGGGAGGAGGATTACTTCACGCCAGGAGGTTGAGGCTGCAGTGAGCCATGATCACACCACTGTACTCCAGCCTGGGCAACAGGGTGAGACCCTGTCACTAAAACAAAACGAAACAAAACAAAAGATCATGGCCCAGCAATTCCACTTGTAACAGTTTATCCTAAGGAAATAATTATGGCTATAACCCATTACACAAATTTAATATTGTGGGTGAGATAGTCGGAACAACAGATTTAGTTAAATCAGTCACAGTTCATCAGTGTTAATGGGTGGAACTGAATCCCCAAAAGTTATACTGAAATCTCGGCCCCAGCGTATCTCAGAACATGACCTTAGAAACAGGGTTGCTGCAGATATGATTAAGACGAGATCATTAATGTGGGGGCAGACCCTCATCCCATACAATTGCAGTCCTTATAGGACACAGGGCGAAGGCGGCTGTGTGGCAACAGGGTCACAGGTGGGAGACACACAGCCATGGGCTCGGGATGGCTGGGGGCCCCCAGAAGCTGCAGGGGAAAGAGGGTCCCTTGCAGGTCTCCGAGGGAGTGAGGTCCTACCCACAACTTGATCTCAGACTTCCAGTCTCCAGACCAAGGGAGAATTCATTTCTGGTTCTTTGTTTTTTGTTTTGTTTTTTTTTTTAGACGAAGTCTTGCTCTTGTCCCCCAGGCTGGAGTGCAGTGGCGCGATCTTGGCTCACTGCAATCTCCGCCTCCCAGGTTCAGGTGATTCTCCTGCCGCAGCCTCCTGAGTAGCTGGGATTACAGGCACCCTCCACCACACTCGGCTAATTTTTGTATTTTTTTTGTAGAGATGGGGTTTTGCCATGTTGGCCAGGCTGGTCTCAAACTCCTGACCTCAGGCGATCTGTCTGCCTCGGCCTCCCAAAGTGCCGGGGTTACCGGTGTGAGCACCGTGCCTGGTCGTGCTTCTGTTTCTGTTAAGCTCCCGACTCCTGTGTGTGGTCCCAGGAGGCTCCTGGGATGGGTGAGATGGGGGTGTGGCCAGGAGGGTCACCGAGAAGCCCACTTGGTGTGAAAAGACATTCACCACACCTGGTTGTGTGGACGCCTGTGGACACACCTGGATGGCAGGGAGGGGAAACCTCTTAGTAAAGCCAGTCTCTGCAGCCCAGCCACGTCTGGGAGCCGAAGCCTTCAGGAGGAACGCAAACAGCTCCACCTGCAGCTCTGAAGTGCGTTAGAACCTACACCTATGGTTCTTTTTTAAATCTCTAAAATACTTTTCTCTTTCGTCCACCAGCCTGGGCAACAAGGTAAGACCCCATCTCTATAAAAAATAAAAAAA